GCTTAAATTTATTGTAGCAGTTTACATTATTGAATTTGGATTTTGGGCTCTATAATGAATGTCTAACATTTATGTACATGCATTAAATTTATCTTGTGCATATTCTGGAGTGTGGTAGCTGACTATTTAATATTGTTTTGTCAACTGTGTTCACTGGAGGATTGTATGTACCGGTATGGGACGGTGACATACTAGGTATGGATTAGTTCAAACACTAAGTTCTACCTAACTTGGATTAAGGTATGGATTAATCATAAAGGTTAAGTCCATCACCTACATGTGTCATATTAATTGTGAATTGAATGACCTACTATGGTTTTAGGATGGATTTGTTATACATATATCAGACCACTACACAGATGAATGATATTTTGTATTAGGAGGAGTAAGGACTTTATATATATATATTATATGGTGCCGTGGTGTGAACTTGAGTCTCATAACCATGGTTAGGGCGCGTGTATCGCCTAGGATGGATAACTGGACATAGGTGTTGTTCCCTGGTAGGTCTGGGTACTCATGCCCACCCTCGGGTGCGTATTTGCATGTTGCCTTCTATTCAGGCTGAGACAAACCTACTGGACTAGCGAACGTCCTATAGTGTGTACTATATATACATCTATGGACTACTCTAGATATTGTTGAGTCTTCCTCGGATGTATCTGCGTATCAGATTGCTGTTTGGATCGTAGTAGAATAGGACTTGCATGTGGGCCTGACCCACTTCTTTATTTTTCAGGTTTTCATTAGTTCCAGGGTTAAAGCTTGGATGAGCAGAGCAGATACAGACTTCCACTCTACTGATGACGTAGGATTTCTTTCTATATGTTTGATTTGGATTTTATCTTCAGTTTTTAATTTCATCTCAGTTTGGAGTTTCAGTAGGGGTCCACTAGAGATGGATTCCCGAGTTGTATGGATTGGAGGAGTTTGAATAAGTTGGTTTTTAATTAGTTTAAGTTGAGGATTTCTTTTTAATTTAGTATTCTTTCAGTTTTTAACTTTTATTTCTTATTCACTTTGTATTCCGTGTTCGATTTAAAATACTTTAATTGTTTGATATCCCTTGAGTTTTGGCTCAGACCTAATCAACCCGCGTCTCGGATCCGAGAGGTATCATAACTTGCCAAAGAGCTCAAACAGCAAGAGAAAGAGTTGTAGCAGTAAGAGAGAGGGTTGGAAGTGCAAGAGGAAGAGCTCAAACAGCAACAGTGAATGTTTCAGTCAATTTTAAACTTGCTATGTTTTGAAAATTTTATTTTATTACTGATTTATATACCTTCTAATTGTTAATTTAGAGAAAATATAAGGTCTCAAACTCAAGGATCAGAAGGAAAAGGAACTTCTGGTGTTACACAACAAGTATAAATCTTTACTTATGTTCACTATAACAATTTTTCAATTCTATGATTACCCAATACTGTACTTAATTATTTTTTTTTGTTTAAATTTTTTCCAGTCCCAAACTGCGAGCAGAGGTGGAAGAAATGTACGTGCAAGAGGAGTTTCTCAACCAAATGTTAATAGCATGGGTGGTGGTTCTCAACCAAATATGAGTGGCATAGGTGGTGGTTCTCAACCATATGTCAGTGGCATGGGTGGTGCTTCTCAACCATATATCAATGGTATGGGTGGTGCTTCTCAACCAACTGTGAGTGGCATGGGTGGTACTTCTCAACCAAATACGAATATTAGAAGTTGTTCACAACCAATTCAGAGTGGCAGTAGAGTTGGAAGAAGAGATACCCCTCGAATCCGAGACACGGATTGATCAGGCCAGGCTAAACACGAGGGAATATTAAACAATTAATATTTTAAAACGAACACAGATTACAAAATAGATTTAAGAAGATAAAATAATAAAGCTGAAACGAATCCCAATATAAAATCCTCAACTGATAAAAATTAAATAAATCCAACTTTCGAAACCTCCATGAATACAACTCGGGAATCCATCTCTAGTGGACCCCTAATAATAGTCCAAACTGAAAAGAAAACTACTAAAAGAATATCCATAGTAAACTATGGAGAGAAGTCCTACGTTGTCAGAAGAGTGAGTGATGGTCTCTGCTCAGCACGATCAAGCCTACGACTGGAACGGTTGAAAACTTGAAAAAAATAGATTTGGGTCAGGCCCACAAACAAGTTCTATCCTACTACTATCCAAGTAGAGACTCGATACGCATATACATTCTAACTAACTCAACAATAGCTAATAGTCCGTACATATGTATATTCACACTACAGGACTCTCACTGGACTATGGAGAGGGTCTCAACCTGAATAGAAGGCAACATGCGAAACCGCACCCATAGGTGGGCATGAGTGCCTAGACCTAACAGGGTACACCTCAACCTCTTATATCCAGTTACGTATCCTACTACATATATAGTCCCTAACCGACGACTATGAGACTTAAGCTCATATCGCGGTACTATAAAAATATATTTAAAGTCCTCTCCTATCCATTCAAACCAGTCCAGTTAGTCATTCAACTTGTTTAGCTTCTTTGACTTAACTTGGATAACAAGTAATCCATTTAGTTATTCAGTTTGTGCAGCTTCTTTGACTTAATTATAAGTAGGATTGATTTCATAATCCATTCCCTTATTTTGTATAGGTAGGATGTAGTATTTTGAAACTAATCCGTCCCTAGTATGTCACCATCCCATACCGGTACATACAATCCATCCATCCAATAGTTGATAATACACATAATGAATATAAATGCCAACTAATCCACAACATCCATAGAACTAACAAAACATAAATAAATGTTTACATCCATTAATTTCATACAAGGCATAACAGAAATTTCGTAAACTAACATGTTTGTCTTATACCACTATTACATGATTCTCTCATAACTTATAGCACAGTGAACAAGTATAAACATCCTTTAATCCGTGATAAGCATAATCCAAACATATGTTTGAACATGCTTGCTTTATACCGCTACACAATTATCCAAGAATTGATATTACATTTAACATATGTATACCTCCATTTATCCTTTATAAGCATATAACAATTCTGTAATCTGACATGCCTATATTTTACCACTGGAACATGGCACCTCAATTAATTTAATGGCAAGCACAATACACCAAGACAACTTCTCATGCTTATACATCCAGTCCAGCAATTGATGCACAAGTACTAAGATTTAGTCATCAATTAATATTAACAAGCGTAATTAAAATAAGATAAACTTTAATATGCTCATTTTGCACGATTGTTACATGATTAAAATTGGATAATCATTCTCGAAAAAATTATTTAAAATGACACAAGCTATTTTAATCATTCGCATCCACTGATAGTTTACATAATTGTTAAGAAACATTCACTGCTCAACCTGTAAACCCTAAGTGGTTTATCCTCCATTCCCACATCCTCTGAAGTCTCAATATAACCTTAGATTACTTTTAAATTATCATGTACAGTCCCCGTTTCACTTCAGACAGGTCAAAAACCACCCCAGAGTCGGAAAATATCAAAAATCAAGAGAGAGGGGGAAAAGAGACGTCTCCCCACAAAGGGGAGCCACCTCCCTTTGAGTGGAGCCAGCTCCACCCCATGTGGAGCCGCCTCCACCTCTCTTGGAGCCGGCTCCACCCTTGTGGGGAGCCGTCTCCTTCTCTGGTTTGCTTAGTTCTCTCCTCCTCCTTCACTGGTTTGATCTACGGCGACTACCAGTTGAACTGTCCTCCCTCTTTAATGTTTCTACTGATTAAAATAAAGTTCTAAAGACTATAAAAAATCATTAATCACTAATCAACTTCAATATGAACAAGAAATACACAAAGAACCATTAAACAAACAAATACAGAGACATGTAAACACAGATAGTCAACAACGAACCTAAACATGCAACCAGATTAACTTAGTAGTTTAGTTACTCCTGGAGTTGTAATAGAGATGCAAAGAACACAAGTCCAAGGGAGAGCGTAAGGATAGAACTTTCCTTTAGCCTTGCACAGTCGTCTTCCTATGTTCTCCGGCGAACCACCCACTGAAATCCTCCTCTGTTCTCTCTCTGCCTCTACAACCGTGAGTAGGGTTCTAAAACCCTAGGCAAAGTCTTATTACATATATTTATAGATTTATACAAAACCTAAATTTAATTCAAGCCCTACACTGAATCTAGGTCGACCCACAGAAAATCCTAATTAAAGTTTATGTCGGCTCATAACTTAAACCTGAACATAACTAAAATCCTAACTATATTTTCATAATTAATAATTAGTTAAACCATTCAATAATTAATTCAATTAAAGGAAAACAATAAATTCTATGAAAGTAAACAATTAATACTATTAAAGAAAAACAATTAATTCTATTAAAGAACGTATCATAATACAAGTCGTCATTTAATGCCAATAAACAATTAAATAATTAAAATTCAATTAAAACAATAAATTAAATACCAGGACTATCCTTTAGAAATTAGGGGTATTACAGAAGACAACCAAACTAGAGTGGCAGCAAAGCTGGAAGATAGCCAAGTCAGAGTGGTATTGATGTTAATCCTCTACCATAGGTAAGCAATAAATTACCTAATATTTATCCTTATACATATTAATTTATTGTTGCATTAGTATTCTAATCCTGACATTCAATTGTAAAGAGGGTAGCAAAAGCAGTACAAGGAAAGAAACACAGACTACTAGCTGTTGGGGACTCGTTTGGGCTTTATTCACCATACAACAGTGAGCTGGTTTTAGGGTTTTTGTTGCTTTTGATGCTTTTGATTCTAATGTTGTAAGGATTATATTAAATATTGACCTAGTTTGTTTAAAACTTGAAACTTGTAAATTGTGGTTGACACTGGTTATGTTTTTTTTGTGGTTTCTCAGTAATAGATGATGCTTGCATATGCATGTGCAGTGATAATAGATTAATGATACTTTCTATGGTAAATGTACTCAATTTAGGTCAATATTCCTTACATCATTTTATTTGAAATAAATAGCAAAAACAGATAACAAGAAACAAGCAAATACAACTATCTTTAAAAATATAAAATATCTTTTTCAACAACTTGTAACCTTGAACCTATAGCTTGTCTTTGTAACCTCAGTTCAGCAACAACCTCAAGCAGAAGTTGATTTGCAGGTGAATACTCCTCAACAGCACCAACACCAGCAACAACAGCAGCAACAGAACCATCTATAGGATTACACTATTCCCAAAAACTACATGTTTGATTTTCACAAGTATAATACAACCTTCCTTTGTTGTGATTTTTGTCATTCTCTGTAACCTTCACTATAGCAAAATCCTCATAACGACAAATCTTGTTCGTATACTGTATATGACCTCTACTTCTGCCCCTACCTTCATGACTATTTACTCTTGATTGAGACATTAGTTTACATAAGAGAATATAAGAGAGGAAGATATTATACTGGGTGCATCCATTACCTATATATAGAAGTGCCAAACATAACCGTTGGAGAGTTGAAGAAGGGCAATTTGGGCATTAACATGGACTTCATGGGCAATCTGGGCATTTAAATTGGTTTATAACCTGAAGCCAAACATAACTGTTAATGTTTGTAGTGAAATAGAACTGTTTAGGGGAAATTTGGGCATTAAAAGGCCATTTTTTGCTGATGTCGGCAAAAAGTTATCTCTGACTAGCTTTAATCGTTGACTGAGGGGGGAGACTAATGTATGTCAGAAAAAGTAGGGGGTCTGACTGAATTTTTGTAAATATGGGGGGTCTCCTTGAAAATTGGACATAGTACAGGGGATGTAACTGAATTAAACCCTAAAATTATTAAACCCCCTTATATTATTCAATTTGATCAATCACATAACCCCATATACTAACAAAAGTGGTGGTCATTTTACCCCATTCTCAGACATTTTCTTATATTAATCTCTATTGCCATGTCTTGGGGGTATTGAAAAGAATGAAAATTAAGGTACTATAAATGCGCGATATATATTAATATTTTGAATTGTAAATGAAATTTTGAAATTTTTTATAAATACTATTTGCATAAATTACTAAAGTACTTCTTTATTTTGATCATTATTATCGTGTCTTGTTAAACCTGGTGAGATTTTTTTAAATAGATTTTTTTTTTTTCAAAAAAAAAAAATTCATCAAGGTAATAAAGGGATATCTTTACGAAAATCAAAATTCCAAGCTCCAGCCCTAAATGAAAAAGGAATAATGGATTTGATTTGGAATTTAAAAGGGCATGTTGGTCATTAACGGGTTAAAAGGGCATTATGGTCATATATTATTTTAAAAGTTGGCACTGGGCTTGATATGATGAATTTTTAAAAGGTAATGGAGATTTTAGATATTTTTCTTAGTACATGGGTGTTATATGACTGATTTTGGATAAGTATAATAAGGTTGACTGATTTTGGTTAAGTATACTAGGGTTTTATGATTTTAACCAAGAAGTTCAATTTTGCCATTTCATATATCAGTTAACAGTTGAGAAGAGCGGCTGAGAAGCAACAGATATATTGATTCATTGCAATGGAGATGCTACAATAGGCAAGTTAAGGGCTCATTTTGCTTTAGAATTTCACGGTGCCTTATTATCTATCAGAGAGCAGATTTCTATGTCAACAACTGAGACAACACCTAAGATCAAACTGAAATTTGGAAAGCAAAAGTAAGGAGAGGATGGCAGTTTTCTTACTCAAAGATAACAGATGATCGATTTCAGTATTGTGAATGGTCAGAATGGGTGGAATTAATTATTTAGAAGATCTTACAGAGTCAAAGTTGCACAAAAAATAATAAATCATTCAACTAAATGCGTGCATGATTAATGAAAGATATATTAGCGCATCATAAAATCTCTCTAAGCATTTTATGACAAAATCAAACAAATACTTGTCAAAGAAATTAAATTAAAACTAACGGGCCAGTGGCCTAGCGATATCAGCCTCTTACCTCTCAAAGAGAGGTTAGGGGTTCAAGTCTCATAAGAGACAAGTGTGTGTGAGTACCAATTAAGAACAAAAGAAATTAAATTAAGATCATAAAATTACAGGGGAAAAAAGCTGGTTCATAAAGACCTAATTCTATAAGGTGGTGGTATTAGCAAGAGCATAGGGTGTGAATTTCTATAACAGATATGTTCCGCCTTACTTTCATAACCATTACCGTATAATTTTGAAAGTTTCAATTTTTCTTGATATAGTTTCAACAATTGAGGAGCTTCTTCCTCATAACAGGTCACAAACTTCTTAAGGAACAAACTCTCTGTGCAATCCAACAATGTGGCTGCACTAATGGGTTCCTTAATTAAACCTTTCGACAACAAAACTTGAAGTACCGAACACCTGGGAATTATCCTCTTACCCAAGCTGAATGCCATTAATTTTGGATGACGGGCAATTAAGGAAGACTTCCAACCCATTGTGTTGACATAAAAATTCAGCATCGCCATTATCTTTTCCTCGGATACCATCATACACATCGGACGTCTTGTAAAAGCCAACATTGTATCTTCCTCAGACCAACCCCACTTCTCATAAACCTCAATTTTCCTTTTCCATGTTGCTTTGCTCATTAAGGTCAGTGCATTAATTGTTGTAACAAAGTAGGCTTGTGAAGGGTTGAAACCCAATTTCTTAACATCCTTTAGTACCTTATTTAATCTATCAGGCTTTAATTTGAGTGGCCAAGTCTAAGAAGTAAGTAAGTAGACAATTTTTGAATCTGGCACGCAGTGTTGTCTCAAATTTTCAATGCTGGAGAATGTAGTAGCACTGTTATAGCACTGTACAATCTAAGGAAATCGTTTAAAGGTGGTTATAAACTTATCATTTAAATGAAATAAATTCATGAACAAAGTGAAAGATTGGATTATATGGTTCTCCAAACTATATGTCAATATGGTTGGGTTAGCAGATACTATCTTCGCGACCTCAGTGCTCGAAATTCCAGTGGAGTAGAAGAAGTCGAATTTAGGCAAAAACTTTTTCTCGAGATTCAATAGGAGAAGTTCTGGGCGTTTTCTGACGACATCTGAGATCTGGGTGATACTGAATCCATGGTTCTTAAAGAATTTGAGAGCTGAATCTGGTTTGTCTAGGGTTTTAAAATTGACTTTTTTGGAAGCTGAAATAGCAGTTTCTAGAGACAACCCACATGAATTGATGAAGTAATTGATTGTAAATGAGTGCAGATTTGTGGAAGTTGAGATTAATTTGAGAGATGAAGAAAGTGGATGGGTTTGAAGAGCATACAGTTTATGGATTGTTGAATCTAAAAAACAAGAGCATCTAAAATGAACTACAAGTGTTTTACTGTATGTATAAATCATTGGACATGAAATGCGAACTCACCTGATTGCTAATCTTGGGTACTCTTGAACCACCATATATCAAAATCTAATCCTTCTTTAGGGCTCGTGATGATCATGAGTTCACTTTGGCTGAAGCAAGCTCAAGGCAGTAGGGTTTTGGCTCCTCTCATCGATCCAGCGGTGGACAGCATGCCACGTAGATGAGCAGATCTTTATGTTATTTTTGAGGGTTTAATTACACTTACACACCCTAAGGTTTGCCCTATTAATAACCAGATGAAAGTTGGCCCATTTTTGAACACTTACACCCCCTATCAAAAATTTGATCCAAACAGACCCTTAAAAATAAAAAAAGACGAAATAGCCCTTTAATGAAATATTAACTTTTATCTATATAAAAAAAAGATTTAAAATCATAAAACCCCATTATTTTTAAATTTTGATTATAAAACCCCAACATGTTTTTGAAAACCCCTACACTTAAGATGGCAAATTGACTCGCCCTGTCCCATTTTTGGCGATTTTGAGGGATTGTTTAGCTTATTTGGGCGGGGATGGTTTGATATAATAAAAACTCGCACGGGTTTGGTACGGGGGCGGGGGGAGGTCGCCCTTCCCCACCCTGGTTGGATAGGCAAATTACTTAATTACTCTTATTTCATTAGTCTATATATTTCCCATTAGAAACCCTAGGTTTCTTAACTCTCGTTCACACAATTCCTCTCATCACTAGGTTCCTCTCAGTCTCTTAAAGGCTGGTCTTCACTCTTCAGTCTTCTAGAGAGCATTACGCTGCAAACTAAGAAATTGAAAGTGAAAGCCTAGTTCTCATACTGCATGCGGATCAATTATCTCCTTTTCCCTCTTCTATATTACTGATTTTTTTTATTTTTCTTTCATGGTATTTGAGTTCTCTCTTTCTCTCTTTCCAGCCTCTATTAATGAGATTTTTTTCTTCATCTTTCATGGAAACTGAATTTTGATCTTATTATTTTCACTATTGTTGGATTTTAGTTTGCTTATGGAGTTTTACAGATGATAGATCTATTAATTGGTAATTTGTGTGGGTGTAGATGTTATATAATTCCAATCTATTACACATATATATATACATATAGATGTATTGTATATATATCCCGGCATATCCATTTGATTCCTATCTACTTCACTCTCTCTTTTCCGCGTGTCTATATATGTTTTTATCTTTGTGTGTCTATATATGTGCATATATATATATATATATATATATATATATATATATATATATATATATAATAGAAGACTGTAAGGTAGGTGTAATGAATGGCTGCATAATTTATATCAAAAACAGAAACCACATGAGCATTATTATTTTACTTATATAACAATATTAAAGTAACAAATGAATTTGATTAAAAGGAAAGTTGCAATGGTAGATGAGGGGGAAAAAAAGAGCAAATCTATTTCAACAATAAATAAATTATGGTCTTAAACTGGGATTTTAAATGGTTGCGGGGGTGAGGGAGGGTACACCCACCCAAACCCGCTCCCGTTGCCATCCCTACCTACACTTTTAAAAAGTAATCACATTACCTCAATATCCGTATTTGACTTGTTAACCGGGCTATGAAAAGACTTATTTGACTTTACTATTTAATGTTATATTAAAAACTAAAAATTATTTTTTTAAATTATAAAAATACCCTTAAAAATTTTAAAAATTTTGTTTGAGAGAGAGAGAGATTGGGGAAAGTTTTAGAGAAAGAAAGGGGGAGAAAAAAAGATTAAAGGGTATTTTTATAATTTTTAGAAATAATTTTTTTATTTTTAATTTAACATTAAATAGTAATATTAAATTTGTCATTTATAGCCTGGTTAATGGGTCGGACATGGGGGTCGGGTCCTTACCCGAACCCGAGGTCAGCCCTGGGCACTAAGGGCATTCCCGTGATCCCAATGTAATTAATACATTATATCAGTCTTCAGAGTGCACGTGGGTATCATTAGATAGGTCGGGGTTGGACAAAATGGGAAATAAAAAGAAAATGAAGGAACAATAGGAATCGGTCGACGTGTACAAACCACACATCGACCGGTTCATGGAAATCGATCAACGGGACTTTCACGTCGACTGGTTTGACTAGAAACACTGAAAATGCCATTTGCCCAAAATAAATGAGATACCAGTCGACGTGATATGCCCACACGTCGACCAGTTCTGCCTAGTTTTGTGATTTTGGTTCCTTTAAGTGCCTTTGGCAACTTGGCATCCCTTTTTGGCTCACTTGTGACATTGAAAATGATTTTAAACCGGTTCTAAAACTTGTATACAATGAGGAAAACGTCACATTCATGAAAAGATGGATCATTTAATGAAAACACCCCCTTTTTAATTTGAAATTCCTTTGTCATCTAATTAGTACTAATTCTTGAAAAAAAAATCTTTTAAAGACGACCATCATCATGTATGCTTGAAATAATCAAAAATCATTGGATTACATTACCAAAACAATAAATTTACATTCACATAAAAAAGATTACAAAAATATACGTGTTTATGCTCAAAACTTTACAAATATGACATCGGTTACAAAAGTTTATAAAAGATGATTCTAACGACATCAACTACGCTTGTGAAGGTCTATCATTAACCAATTCATTGCCGTGACCTAAAAAATGTTAAAGGAATGGGTGAGCCCGGAGGCTCAATAGAAGTCGCCTAGGGCATCAACTTTAGACTCCCTTGATCCATATCACATAAGGGAGATAAGAGATAGTTGGGATCATGCATGAGGATTTTACGGAATCTAAACCATGTTTCAATCCAATCAATGGCATAAATATAACTTGCACACAATGGATGTAAATGCAATGAAATGTGTAACCACTTACTTCCAAGTTTGGTCTTGAACCAACCCCAATCCCTACCTATGCTAACCGACTTTATCGAGCCGGGATTGAAACTATCCCTGACCTTTTGACCGTTTGGGGCTAGTATCAACTTTTTTATGTTCTACACCGGACCGCGTCCCCTCTAAGTCTAGTTATCACCGGGCTCGCGATACCCGGTCCATTTCTAATTTCCTCATTTCCCCCCATTCTAAGATTGATCATTTGTCAATTTCATTAAACACATCCACCATTTTAAATGGCTCAAATATCCTTCTAATTTAACTTTCTCCACCAAGCTATGCATATGAATGCAATTGCATCAACTTGATTTCAAATTCATCTAGGTAAGAATGTTAGAATAAACATGGCATACTCAATACAATGAACACAAGTATGACATTTGCTATAATTTGATTACAAGTAAGGCCTTCTCTATCAATTAATTACAACATGTCATTCTTCTACAAAATGAATACAATGATGGCATTTCTGTATCATTTGATCACAAGCATGCTCTTCAAACAAACCATAGTAACACAAACCATGCTAACACTCAAATTCAACATAGAATAATACATTTGTTTCACATAAGTATGCTTTAGCACTTAAACACATCATTTGCATCCATATAGTAGTAATTTCATAACATAGCTTTCAACTTGAAATTTATGGAAGAATAAGGCAATAATTCTCAATAAAAGTCAAAGTTTAAAACATTAGGAGAACCCTTACCTCAAGAAGTAAGCCAAATAAGCCCTTATGCTATGTAATGACCCGGTCATTTCATTCCTTTCCTTTTTCCTTAGAATTTTACGGATGAATTTTTTTCGTTGAAATTTTTTTTCTTAGTTTAGTTTCTCATCATTTAGTGTCGTCTTGAGTGCTGAAAAATGGTTTCTAAGACTCTTTCCTTTGGATTGACAACTTCCTTTAAGGACCGAGTCATTTCCATATTTTTCGTTTTTTGACACTATTCACTTTTCGTCCTTTTCCCTATTTTATCTTTTCCCCGTTTGTCACTTTGTTGGCATAACCTCACTCTTTGTGTTTGGAGTTTGTTTTTCACTTCACGTATCTTCATTCTAAGTGGTTTCCACGAAATACGTATCTTTACTTTTGCTGAAAAGTACCTTGGTTCCTCCCGGTGTCCATAGGGGCATGGATGCATAGTTCTTCAGAAACTTTTTCTTTTCTTGGGGTATTTTTTGTAAATATATTTTGAAAATATTTTATTTTAGGGGTTTTTAAGAAAATATTTTTGGAATATATTTTCATTCTGGGTCATTAGTGCAGTTTTCACTTTTTGGAGGGGCCATTGTGCAATTAATGAAAGTTATTGTTAAATGCCTTATTTTGAGCCTGGATTCTCGTACGGGACTCATTTTCACTTTTCGTAGAGTCGCGTACTCTTAGAATTTCCTTCTGGTTGTTTTTCTCCAGTTTCAAGGTTTTTGGCCCTAGTTGCCGCCGAACTTGTTCGGGGCTTATCTCTCTACTCAAGACTCAGTTTTCAACGCCGTTTCTTCCGTTGTTCATATTTTCTCATCTTGGTTCTTTTTTGTTCATGGAGTTTTGCCGTTTGAGTGCGTTTGCTCAAATTTCACTTTTTCGGACTCAACGGGGTCCTTTCGGGACACTTTTGTGAGTTTTTCTACAAATAGGGGACCTTTAAATGAAACATTAGATTTCTCACTCTCTCTCCCCTCTCTTGGCCGGATTCCATGGGCTGCCACCTTCTCTCTCCTCTTTTGAGCTTCTTCCCTTCAGTGAAACGCCGTAGTGCCTTAGTGTTTTATGTTCGCCTTGGTTAGGCCTTCGATTCCACCGATTGGAATCTCGTTTTTGGCCAAATTTTGAGTTCAAGTTTGAAGTCAAGTTGTGATTTTGATGGGGCTTCCTTGGGATTCTTGTTCATCGTGTTGTCCCCGACAAAACCCCGAAGTATCGTCGAATTCGGAGCACTTTTCTTTCGGTAGGGATTTGAGATTTTCATCTCAAATTGAGATAGGGGATGTCTTAGGTTTATATTTATGTTGTATTGATTGTTATATAAACATATATAACTTGTGAGCATGCCTTTGTTCAAGTTTTAGAATTTAATTTAATTAATTTCTATATTTAAGATTTAATTCATATGGTTGTGTATAACTTGGAATTAAATTAAGGCATGCTAGTAAATTAGGCCTTGATATGTTTATCAACATATATTAAATTGGGAGCATTTGAATAAGAATTGCAAATTTTATTTAATATTTATCTTTTGTGAAAGATTAATTCACATAGTTGAAACAAGTATGAAATCAACTTGTATTGTGATATAAAAGTAGGTCTTGGTGAGTT